TCTCTAAAAAAGCAACCATATCTTTTAGTGTATTTGTAATGTAGTTCACAATTCTAATAATTAGAGGCAATAACTCACTTTAAACAGAGAAACTTTCAGATTTATGGTTCTCTGTCATCACCTCCTCAGAGTGGTATAATAAATTTTCTGACTCCAAGCCCTCATTAGAACATTGTAAGTTCACACCAGAGTTGCCTGGAGAGGGTGTGGTCTCCTTTCCATTTTTCCCCCCTCTCTTTCTGTCAAAGGAGCAAATGAATTCGAGACAGGTATGTTAAACAAGGTTTAGCGGGTGGTATAAGATAATAGGATTCAGAATAGGAAGTAATTCTTGATTAGTAAATGGATATATTAGAAGTTAAGGGATCAACTTGAGAATACTTTCTATTAATAAATAATTGTAGGACTGTTGGAAAATATGGTCAATGTTCTGTAATATTGTGCACTACAGAAATTAATAAATTGTGGATTAAAAAACCCCCCAAGGTTTCAGACTCCAAAGGGAAGAATTCCATAATTTTCTTTTGTTTAATAGCAGGGAAGCTGAGTTCTTTATCTTCCTTGTCCCGTAAGTGCTTCCTAGCCCCCATTCTTTTCTCAGTTAGCGTTAACTCCTACTTATTTTTATTGCTTACTGGTTTCTCTTTGCTTATCTAAGCAGTTCCTTGAATAAGGCTGAAAGTTGCCGCAACAGTTCACAAAGGGGGAGAAAGGTCGAAAGCTTAAGAAGGTTGTAAGCTTAGGAGGATATCCACCACATTACCTCTCTGTCACCATGCTTTTTAGGTACCTAGTTGCAAATAAATGATTACCATTTGGTACTGTAAAATGCCAAATTAAGAGAGAACCTTTTAAATGAGGGGCTCCTTTCATTCCTTGTCAGGCCCCATTTATATTTTCATAGACTCCAAACACTCATGTTTCACTCTGTCTAATGTTTGACCCTGCTGATTGCTAGGAAAACAGATAAGATGTAATTTTTAGAGATAGCACATTCTCAGTGACAAAGACCTAGTGTATTGGCACTTTCCAGCTCTCTCACTGGCTGTGCTGTGTGCTCCATCAGCCACTGACTCATCAACCGCCACTCATGAGTACTTGCATGCCATTGGCTGGGTGCTGGGTCCACTCCTCTCCCCCGCCCACTGCCAAAACGGCTGTCTCTTCTGATGAAGATGCTTCTCCTGCTTGGCTCCTCCACAGCCGGCTGGCTACTGAGGTGGGCCAGTGGCCATCAAACCATTTTCTTCTCCTGCTGTGGGGCTTTCTCCTCCGTGGCTGTTGCTAGGCAACCAAGCTTGGTTCTGTCAGTAAAAAGGCAGAGTCAGGAGGCCCTTTCGAGGCCTACTTTGGCCTTTGTGGGGAACTCATTGGGGCCCATCCTGACTAGGGTTACCAGCTCCAGGTTGGGAAATTCCTGGATATTTTGTGGTGGCATCTACAGAAGCCAGAGTTTGGGGAGGGGAGAAGCCTCTGCTGAATAGAATGCCATAGAGTCCACTCTCCAAAGCAGTTATTTCCTCCTGGGGAACCATTGCTACCAATCTCCAGGTGAGGGCTGGAGATCACACAGAATTAAAACTGCTATCCAGATGGCAGAGTTCAGTTCCCCTGGAGAAAATGGTGGACTCTGTGTCATTATACCCTGCTGAGGTCACCACAGCAAATTGACGCTGAGTGCCCAAGGTCGGGGCACCCACCCAGAGGTTCTTTCTAGAGTTTGTTGTATTCATTTCTACAATGGGCCTTATTCCTAGTTAAAAATATTCACCACTTCAAGTAGATTAAGTTATGATAATACTTGGGACAGACAGTTTGGTGTAGCGGTTAAGAGCAGCAAACTCTGATCCGGAGAACTAGGTTTGATTCCCCACTCCTCCACATGCAATCAGCTGGGTGACCTTGGATCAGTCACAGTTCTCTCAGAGCAGATCTCTCAAGAGCTCTGTCAGCCCAACCTACCTCATAGGGTATCTATTGTGGAGAGAGGAAGGAAAGGAGATTGTAAGCTGCTCTGAGACTCTTAGTGAAGGGTGATATATAAATCCAACTCTCTTCCTCCTCCTCCTCCTCCTCTGGGTGATCTTTTTTAACACAAATATCACAGGGCACTCATTCATTTTTGTACTACCACATAACCACTGCATGACTTGAAAGGCATTTAATCATTCTGTAAAAATGATGAGCCATTAAATGTGTGGCTTTTTAGAAGGCAAGTCATGAGACAGAGCTTTATAATCACTTTTCCTTGGCTCTCTAATTTATAGCTGATTCTTGTGGAGAGCATTCTGCTGCTGCTGTTGTGCATTTGTATATGGATTATATATATTTTACCCTGTGTTTGGATGTGTGCAAAGCAAATCTGTGTCTGTGTATTTGTAAAAGAAATACCCTTTGTCCTCCCAGATACCAGCCATATTCAGTGAAGTCCAATGTTTGATGGTATGCACACCTGTGAGAAAGGGAGGGAAGGCAACCTTTTGTTTTTCATGTCAGGGGCCCATTTGCTGATCTGCGTAACCTCAACAATCCATTCACAACTTTGTCTTTCTTCTCTTATGTCTGAGTTCGCTTTTCCATGTCTTTGTTTTTACTTGTCTAGTCAAATGTGTTCTGAATATGTGTGCCTATGCTTATGTGTTTGAAGTGGGGGAGTGGGGAGGAAAGAAGGCTGATAAGCTGTGACCAGTTGAACAAAACAGACTTCTAATCTTTTTCTTTTTTTAAAAGGGAAAACATTATGGTTTCCTGGACACAGAATATAGTCAAGAAAAGTAGGGTTTTCAGAACTAAGAGGGCCAGACCCTCCCCACCCCAAGGCAGTCGCAAGACAATTTCCCCCCACTTCATATAGTTATATTGCTACAGGGGTCTGGAGAGCTTCCTAGAAGCTCAAAAAATATTCCCTTGGGTTGCTTCAGCTTGTAGAAAAAAAACTGTAGAAAACCAGGGATAGTATGTTTCCCTCAGGAGCAGAGTTCCAACACCAACCCCTGACAGTATTTTCACAGCAACAACTTTTACCTCACATCTGTGCTCCCAACTATATCCTTCACTCTTCACCCATCTACTATAAATCCACCAACTCCAGAACAGAAATGGGGGGGGGGAGAGAGAGAGATCACTGATGGAAGAATGGAAGAAAAGGGTTTTTTCTGCTGATCCAAGAATTTAAGAATGGGATCCTGTTCAAGAGACATGTGTCAATGGAAAGCTCCCATGTGGAAAAAATCATACTAAGGCTGGAGGTTCCAGCACTGAATCACTCAGTGCCCAGAATAATACCGGTTTCACCCCAAAAGCCTTTGTCGTGTTACTGGTTAAGCAGCATAGCACTTCAAGTCTGTAAAGGGTGCTATGCTACTCTTTCCTTCCCTCTTAAAAGAACAGCAGTTTGAAGGATAATAAGCTTGTATGCTGGGATAAGTTCTAAGAAGTAACCAAGATCCAGGGTCAAATGTTAACAAAAAAAGCACCTCTGCCTTTGTATTCATAATTTTATTCAAGCCAGTTTCTATATCTCTCTGTTAAATAGTTGAGTAGACAAAAAACAGAGCAGGTGGGAGTCTTAAAATTATGGTTCTAAAAATGACTTCGTTCTTATTATATTTTTCTTCTCCATGGGAGGCCTTTAGCATTACTTTACACACTGCTCCTGGGTCAACATTTTGCACCTACATATAATACTAGGTTTTGTTTAGAAAACTTCCCAGGTGCATAGTTATTACTAGAGAGTTTTAACTGCATAGTTTAACAATGCAACACTATGCAGATTAACAATACAACGCTATGCAGAGTTACTCCTGTCTAAGTCCATTGAAATCAGTGGGCTTGACACAGAGCAACTCTGCACATTATTACCACATGTCCTGACAAATGTAAATGCTATATTGTCTATGAATTTTATCAAGTATTGCTCCAATAAAAATAATTTCTAGATGACCCTGGAGGTCCCGTCTACCTCTATGATTCTATGTATTGAATTCAGAAAAATTTGAAATTAACATTTCCCCCTTTATCAAATAATTCAGTTCAAGTATTTGTTGCTATTGGGACATAAAGTTAACATGAGATACCTTTTAAATTTGTTTTTATTAAAGAGAAATCAAAATAAGCATGCTAAATCAAATCACATTCTATTTAGGGTATAGATATTTTTCCAGATTCTTTTTAAAAATGTTCTAATTCTAATTTTTCCAGAATGGTAAGAAAAAGAGGGAGAAAGAGCAAGTTAGACTGCGGTCACACGGGCAGGAAAATGCGGAGGGGGGGAAGCGTGGCTGTTTGCCCCGGGGCAAAGTAACACGCGGTTGCGCAAGCAGACATGTCGTGGAGGTCCCGTGGTAGGGGGGAGGTGCCAGTCACACCACAATCCTGCGGCGCAGCAAAGAAGCGGTGCGCCACGGCAAATGGGTGGTTTTCCCCCCTGTACACTGACGTGTGCGCATGCCCCGTTGGGTGCTTGTGCGCATCCTGAGGACACTTTAAAAAAAAGTGCTGGATGCCATGGGATTCCACTGGAAACGCGATCACGCGCCTGCCCTTGCCCCACGTTTTCCAGAAACTAGTACCTCCGAGGTACTAGTTTTTTTACCGCGCATCTTCGGAGTGAAGCCTCGGGTGAGCCATGGGAGCTCTACACTTCCCAGATGTGGCGGTGAGATCACGCCCAGAAAATCTGCCTATCTTCCGTCTCTCTAGCGTGCCTAATGCTCCGTGTGACCGCAGCCATAGATGGTTAACAGCAAAGGCATGCAGTACAATTTGTAACTGGGTATGAATATGTCAACTATTACAAATTAAGGAATGTTACAAATTAAAGCTGCAAGCATGTGCACATTTACATGGATGTAATCCCCATTCAAATCAGGGGAACTTACTTCTCAATAATTGTGCATATAGGATCTGGCTATAAGAAGAAAAACAATGCCAGAAACAACAGGCAGAGGCCAAAACAAATGTTGGTGATTTCCTGGTAGTTGCTCCCTTGGCAGACATACCTTTGCATGCCTTCCTGTGAGTGATTGGTTTTGTCATGTCCCGATAGTAGCCCTCCTTGCAGTAGTGACAGTGACGTCCTGCTGTGTTGTGCCGGCAATTAAGACAAACACCTCCACTCTTGCGACCAGATAGTTTGTAGAGTTCCATGTTAAAACGACACCTCCTGGCATGCAGGTTGCAGTTGCAAGCTGAAAAGAAAGGAGACAAAAACAGAAATGTCACTATTAGTGACTTATGGCTTTTACAGAATATGTTGTTTTACTTTTGGCTTAAATGGTTCAGGCCATGACTGAAACATACAGAACAGTCCTGTACATACTCCAAACTGGTACTCATATGCCATGTGCTCAAAAGCAGGAGGCAATCCAGTATTGCACAGACTAGAATACAGTAGAAATTGTAGAAACATGTGTAACTCCGAAGATGAATGTTTTCAGAAATACAGCAAACGCAAAATAAATTCCAATCAATTCACTGGAAATTTTAGTTTGATTGGATTTGGCCCCCTTCAAAGCCACAAACTTTTATAAAAGACTATTTCAGATTATGGTCCATTTTTCTTTCCCACCAGAAAGTACTGGTGATTATCCTCCAATTTACCTGGAATTTGACTTGAAACATATTCACTTAAATGAAAACATACAGCTTTGCAAAATAGCATGCAAAAAAGTGGACTATAAGAACAATAAATAAATACACCCTCATTAGTACATTCTTGCTGTGACATATCGTACTGAATATAAAAAAGAAAATTTGAAATATCTATATAAAAATAGATATTGAGAGGACTTGCAGAATGTGAAAAAATGTAATAAGACACTTTTTTTATTTATTTAAGGCATTTCTGTGCCACCAGTTAATTATGTTTGTGAGGTAGCTCACATAATATCAGTCGAAATAAAATTAAATACATTAACTGGAAAAAAATTTTAAAAACCCACCCCCTAAACGACAGCAACAGACTAAGTCTAAAACACAGCAGATAACTTAAGTGTTTGGGGAAAATATATTTATCTGTTGCCAAAAGTCTGGGAGAACAGAAACCTGAAATATAAAATTCAGAAGAGCAAGTACTCAGGGGGAATCACAGAAGAGATTCCATAACAGAAAAGACCCTATCTCTGGTAGCCACCCATCTCACCTCAGAGACTTCCAGCGAAAATCCTAACAAATGGGAAAACTTATACATATAGACAGGTTTATGCATACCTCCACATTGTACTTTGGCTGCGAAACTGAATTAAGGTTGATCAAGACCTGATTCCAAAAATATACCATGGTTTGTTTCTTGAGTTGTCATGAACCGCAAACAATGAACATAAAAGAAGAAGCCACTTGGCTGCCTAGAGAGTCAAATGAAAACCTGTGTCCTAAGAACAATATCATACAGAGCAGATGACATTCTGTATCTCTATATGCTAGCTAACTTTATGAGATAGTAGCTATGCCTTGCTGTGTACAGGGAGACGTAAGATGTTACTAGGGCTAAGACAAAAACATGCCTTTCTAATATATTATTCATACTTCTGTGGCTTTGTCAAGATATGGACCAGCTTGGAATGTGGGGGGGGGGGAGGGAGGGCAATGCATCTCTGACTAGAGATGTAAAATTTCCGGAAATTTTGAAGCTCAGAAAAACCCCAGTTTTTTCCCAGGGGAAAACAGAAGATTCGGAAAAATTGAAAAAAATGCTACATTAGCACTTCTTTTTTCTTTTCCAGATTGAAAGTCATTCTGTTACTTTAGGAACATAAAATATGACTATGGACAATTTTACTTGGCATGAAATTATCACAACTAGCATATTAAAAATATAGTGTATCCAAACAAACAGAATTTACTTTTTTATCATATTATTTGTACTTGTAACAAATGGAGCAACAATCTCCTGAACTGTTTACTAGTTTATGTGGAACAGACCAAAAAACCTCCACAAAACAATCTTTAAAAATCCAGAAGTAACAATTATTCATATTAAAAACCCATTCTCATAAAAACAATTGAAGAGGGGGGAAGTGTATAGAAAGGATTTGGAAAATATTTGAACACCTTGTCTTAAAATATTCTATTCATCGTATTAAAATAAAATGTTCCATAATCAATTTTTTTTCTTTTTTCAATTTTTCCAAATTGTTTTTTTCCTAATTTTTCCGGGTTTTTTTTCCAGGCCTTCACATCTCTACCTCTGACACAATTTTTTGCCACTAGTCATGCTTTGTATCTTTCCACACTACCATCAGGGTTGTATTTCACCTTGAACACCTATTTGCTGCCAATAACTTTTCTTTCAGGAGGTAATCTAGTAAGTGTCCAAGACTGCTTTTCATGTAAAGATTCTATTTCATTATGCATTGCTTCCATCCATTTGCTTTTCTCTGGTGTGGGTAGTTGACTTATGTCTTTCCAGTTTGAGGGTTCTCTGACAAGTTGCACAGTTGCACAAACGCCAAGTCTCGGTGGTGGTGCACCTTTGTTGCTCCTTGCTGATCCTCTCACAGTGGTCACAAGTCTCTGTGTCTGCCTCCCTTGGCTGTCCCCTTCTGTCACTGTACTTCCTTGTGAAGGTGGACCTGTGTGATCACAGGTGGTCTCTGCAGGTAGCCATGTGGCTAGGTCACTGAAAGAGACTTCTGTATTGTCCTCATCAGTTTGCATTGTGGACTCAGCTTGCTTAGGAGCTTGCAGTACGCTGATTTCATCTAAGTTACATTCTTTGACGATATGTGTATTAGGATTCATGATTCTATATCCTCTTCCTCTAAGAGTGTAGCTAACAAGGATACCAAGTTCAGCTCAGGGATCCAGTTTTCCCATTTTCTCCTTGGGTACATACGCATATGCTCTGGAACCAAAACCTCTTATGTGTTTTAAAGCTGGATTTTTGCTAAACCATATCTCAAAAGGAGTTTTACATGTTACTTTGGAAGGAATTCTATTATGCAAATAAACAGCAGTGTTTATTGCTTCAGCCCAACAGAAATCAGAAAATCCAGATTGCATAAGCATAGATCTAGCCATTTCTTGAATTGTTCTGTTAAGACTCCCAGCTACACTGTTCTGCTGCAGTGAATGAGACACAGCAGTCTCATGCTTAATGCCTTCTTGTTCCATAAACTCCATGATTCTGTATTCTGTCCCATTATCTGCAAATAGCACTTCTGGAGCTTTGCCAAATTTATTTTTTCACAGACGCAATGTAGCTTTTAAATTTCTCAAAAACTTGATATTGCTTTTAATTAAGTATACATAGACATATCTGGATTTTGCTTCTATAAAGGTAAGAAAGTATTTGCTTCCACCAGAAGGTTTTATGGGTCCCACTAGGTCTGAGAAGACCTTTTCTAAAAATTATTTGTTGTGTCTTACATCAGCAGCAGCATTTTCAACAACATTCTCAAAGTAATGAAAACCATTAAGTTCTTTAACCATGAGTTCAGTTCCAAATTCATCGTTAACAATTTTGTCATTATTCTATTTGACTATGACAGTATAATCGTTCTTCATAATTCTCTTAGTCGAAATAAGGTTGTGGGTTGCTCCAGGTACATAAGCATAGCCCGTTAATACAATTTCTTCAATTTCTTGATTTGCATTCATAACCTTTAATAATGCTGCACCACATCCTTGAACATCAAGTTCCTGTCCATTAGCCGTTCTAGGTTAGGATGCTTCTGTTCATCCAACTCAGTAAAACATTCTCTTTGATTACACAAATGACTGTAACTTCCAGAGTCCAAAAGCCAATAATGTTCTAGATTTGGACTTGATCCAATAATTGCAAACATGTGCCTTTCAGCAGGCTTGCTCCCTTGTTTAAATGTTTTTCCTCTCTCGTGGCTGCTTCCCTTTATTTCTTTTGGCTGATATTTGGGTCTGATGCTATTTTCCGTTCGGCTGCTGGGTGTCACTGTTTCAGTAGAAGCGCTTGGTTTATTGAGGCCCCTGCCACATGGCAGGGAAAAGACGGGGCGAAGCGCGGCTTTTAAAAGCCGCGCCAAAAAAGAAACACCCCGGCGGGATCCCACGGATCCCGGTTGCCGCGCTCCGTTGCTCCCCGGCACGATCAGATGCCGGGGAGGAAGATACCAGTCGGAGGGGGAGGCTGCTGTACTGTGCATGCTCGAGCATGCGCAGTACGGCAGGGGGCCGGGGATGCGATGGCGGCAACACGCGCTGCTGATCCCACGGCCGGGATGAAGCGGACCATCCGGATGAACCACCGAAGGAAGGTGGTTCATCTTTGACACGCTTCATCGGGGGAAGGGTCAGATTGGAGGCGGGAGCGCGACGCCAGCCAGATGTTGGTGTGGGATCGTGCCCGTTTGCTGCGCTTCCAATCCGGCCCACTCCCGGCCCTAACTGCCTCGTATGAACGGGGCCTGACTTGTGTTTCCTTAAATATGCCGTATTTGGCAATATGTCCCTGTTGTTTGCATACATGGCATATTATTTCTCTTCTTCCAGATTGCACCCTCAGAACTGATACAAGTTCTCTTCCAGTCCCCTCTTGTCTTAGATAATTTACAGAAAAGTCAACATTCAGGTCTTTCTGTGCCTGTAATACAACCAAATGGCTTTGCTGAGGAAGACTGTTAAATATAGGTGCAATGATTTCCCTGCTCAAGAGAAGCTTTCAGATCAGACACAGTTTTCATAATCTTATCCAAATATTTAGATATTGATTCCCCTTCATGCAGTTTAAAATTATACAAGCATCGACTAATGAATAATGCTTCCGTGTCAGTCTTTTGCTTATATTGATCTTTCAGCATTTTCCACATATCTTTGGCCATTTTACAATCCACTAGCAAAATACATTCAGCCTCAGAAACACAACTCAAAAGTAGACTTCTCCCAATTGGATCCCTTTGCATAAATTCTCGTTTCCCTGGTTGCTGGGTAGGAATATCTTTTTAAAAAACATCTTGCATTTGCAAGGCTGCTTTCAGCCTGGCTACCCACCATCTGTAGTTTTGAATAGATAAGGTGGGAATTTGAAAGCTTGGGGTACTGTGCATTCTGGTACTGGTATTACTCACTGTTCCTGATTCAGACTCATCACTGCTTGTATTGGTGGCCCCAGTTTCTCTGCCATCAGTGGCTGACATCATCTTGACTAGAGAGCTCATTGGTCTCATCCTCCGCTCTTGTAAGCCCAGCAGGCAGGGATACTGCAGTTAAAAGGCTTCTGACTTTAAAAGTATTGCAGGCAATTTTTAGGGAAGTCACAGTGGGGGGAAAATGGAAATGTTAGCAGAGGAATGATTTGCTACCATTTGCTACCATTCGTTGCGATTTTTGCCTTTAAATAAGGCTGGGGCAAAGCAAGGGGCATACACCATC